TGGAGGTGTGAGGAGAAGGTGCAGGATGGAGGTGTCTGTCTTGGCACAGTGCTGGGGAGCTCTGCCATGTGCCATCTCCAGCCTCTCCCTCCTGCCCTATCCCTTAGCTGTTGCCTCCTCTTGGGAGAGCATGGTTTGGGCATTGTCCATGGGCATTGTCTTCCAGTGTTCTACTGCAGGTAAGGAGCTGTCTCACTTGGGAAGTGCTCCTCTCTGCTGGAGTGGTGACCCTGGAGTACTCCTTAAATACCCCATGGGCAGAGTGGGTCCCCATGATGTCACAATATCTCCTGGGCACTAATACCCCACCATGTCACAATGATCCCTGGGCACCATGAGTCCCTGCATCACACAGCCCTTGAAGTTGCCATGGAAACACCCATGCCCAGGACCAGCTGGAACTGGCTGAATTGAATGAATAGCAGAACATCAACTGGTATTCCACCACGGATCTGCTACATAGGCAGTAGAAATTGCCCATATCTTTTAACAAGAACTCAAGATTTTCTTTTGCTGCATGTAAAGGAAAATGAATATATTGCCTATTAAGTTCCCCAAGAAGTCTAGCCCAGATTTTGCTGTGAGCCATGTTGGCTCCATTAGCAGCAAACAGCTCCTTACAGTGGACATTTTTGGAAACACATAGCTTTGGTGGAAGGGCAGAGGGTGAACCAGAATAGAAGGAGACTTGATAATTCAGCCTTTCCGCCTCCTCAAGCCAGGAGAAGCATCAAAATCTCACATCTGCACACAGGTTGACATTGAGATTCAGGTTTAGGAACATGGCATTCAGATACCTATTTTAAAAGGCATCCAGGATTTGGAATGTATTCCAGTGGTGGTAGCAGCACTACTGCAATCCAGGCTGCTTTACCCTTCTCCCTGCTTACAGAAGGCTAGCAGCTCCTCGCAGGGTTTGCTTGAGACAGCCAGAGAGCTTACCCATGGTTTGAACCCTATGGAGCTGCAGCCTCATCCTTCCCAGTCCCAGCAGAAGTGTGCTATGCCTGCAGATACTACTGGTGCTCAGCACCATCTTAGGCCAGGACCCTCCAGCCACCGACCAGGACATTCATTAATTAATTAGCCTTGAAATACATCAACTGTGCAAGACCAGAATTGAGTTTGGACCTGGTGGGCTGTGTGCTGGAGAAATCTGCATCTCCTGAATAATCTGTTGCAGTACTGTAAGTGAGCCCTTGGATAGATGACGCCCTTAGTGGGTAAATACCAGGATAAATAGAAAAACGTTCAGTGCAGAGCAAGCCAGAAAAGAGGAATTGAAGCCAGAGCCAGACACCAGCCTTTTCCTAGACCAATCCAGGCTACCACAACTCCTAAATGACTTCTTCAAAAATATTCTTCCCATGAGTTAAAGAAAAGATAAAGCAAAGATGAATTGGTTGATTAGTGAAGGCAAAGAAATGCATATGACCTGTAAATGTTGGGAGACAAGATCTCTTAATCCTTAACCAGACTAAATGTGAGGTCTCATCCAGCGCCGTAGGTAAAGGCAGTAGTCATACCATGATTCACTGGAAGCCTCTCAGCAGGCCCAAACTCCACCATCAGCTCGGTCATTAAATCTATTTCCATCACAACTGACATTTTCTTTCCAAAACAAGGACTTCCCCTGGGAGCAGCCACCCAAGTGTCTTCAGCTTAACAAACCCTTCTGGGCATCCTGAAGAAGCCTCTAATGATCTCGTAACCTTCTTAGAAAACTCATGGTAGACTTGCTTCAATCTTCTAACAAGGGCTTGGGGACACCTTCACCGACACTAAGGAGAAAAAACTTTCCTCCTTGCTAAAAGAAATGAGAACTTCTAGGCAGTTTATTTCATCACAACTTCTCCACACCCTGAAATTGCTGGTTGTAGAGTTCATGGCTTGGCATACACCTCTCCAGTCCTCTACTTTGTTGGGGCAGGAGTTATTGCTGGAATTTGGAAGACAATGATACGTGCATCACAGCACCAGCAGCTGAGAGTAGCTGCCCCTGGCCACCAAATTCTGGATGGCAGAAGTCACTCAGCACCTTGTGACAAGGCCCTGAGACATGTTTCTGCTTAAAACAATTCACTTTGATAGGTTAATAATGTGTTAAAAACACTAAATGTGGTGAAAAATGGTCTCAGCCCTAGTGAGTTCATGCAGTCCTAGTGAATTCACCATCTTGGCAGTCTCTGGGGAGTTCATAACCTCTAATTTTGGACTGGGGAAGGAGATATGAGCATCTGATTTCTCTTGGAGAACCTCTTGGCACCTTCCTAAAATAGTGCATGGCATGGGCTCCTCAGTGTGACCCAGAATGCACCAATGTGAGTACAGGGAAAATCAAGGAAGACTGAGCACAGCACAGGGATCTGCACCCTGAGGTGTTCCTGCAGAGTCAGACATGAGGAGAGGCTGAGGACATCTGATGAAATTCAGAATACTTCTCCCATTGCACACTCCTGAAACAGCTGGCATCCCACGGCTTGGACAGGGGCACTCTCT